GATCATCAAGGATATATAATAGGTAGGTATAGGCTATGCTGTCAGACTATTCTTATGTAGATAGACCTGATCCAAAGTCAATTGAAGTCAATCAAAAGACTCCCCTTGACTTCAATGGGATCCGAATCAGGTCCTATATGCTTTTCTTTCCCATTAGAAAGAAAAAGAAAGATGTCCAAATAATAATCAAGTCTAAGACGAACCATGGTATAGCGGTATCTTTACAACAGAAGGCAACTGTTGTCCTATTTATTATTTAGATCATCAGTATTAACTACTATTCACTCTTATAAATCATTACATTTATAGAACTTAATGGTAAAGATATTGCCTGCTATTAAGAACCATCTCGGTGAAAAGAAAACTGTCGAGCATTCAAGACCCATATTTCCAACATTTAAAAGAACAAGTGTCAAACACTGACGTGTGATAAATATCTGTGCCAGCCTAGTGAATTTTGAGCTTGCCATAGTTAAATTGCACAAGTAGTGAACTTATTGTAAGTCATGCGTCAGAGTCCAGCTATTTTTTAAAATCATGTATCACAGGGGGGAAAAGAAGGAGGGGGAAGTTATAGCAGTATGCCCCCATGCACAGCAAATAAAACGGATGTCCAAATTTGTTAGTTTCAATAAGAATATCAGTTTACGGGCCAAAGGAAGGGCTGTTACTGCTCTTACCAAAAACGTCTAAACATACCATATGAAATCGTGCTTTAACTACTGTAGCAAGCCAAGTGCACCCTTGTGTTACCATATACGGTAACCCAGGCGAATACGATGGCAACTTGACAGATTTGGAACAAATATTGCGCTGTGTGTCACTCAGATACCATAAGCAGGAAAATATCAGATTGTATTACCTGTATCCAACCAGTGGTGTGCAGAAGCAGGAGCACACTGCGACAGTTCATTTCGTTAAAGGTTAGTAACACAGGGCAGCATTCACCCCTGGGGAAGAGGGCGCGCATAAGACTCTCAGGCACCAGTTATCCCCATCACAGGGGCTGCATGGGGCGCATAGGATGGAGCAGCTGCAAAGAGGTGCCGGTATACCACATTGCACCCTCATAAGTAGGCACAGGTCACAGAGGGGACAGGATGAGGGGTGGCTCAAAGTAGGAGCAAGGGGGGGCTGTATTAGCGCAGGTCCAGAAGGATAACACCAGCACAACTGGTGCAAATGGTAGAAGCCGCTATTCTATACCTTGCCCTTAGCCCGGGGGGGTAGATTTTGTCTCTTCAGCCCCTCCACATTCCGCCTGCACAGAACCTGAATACTCAAGCTACATGCACACAAGGAGCACCCCCGTACTACCGTTAGCCCCAAAGAGGAGGGACAGACCAAGGGCTTGTCTGCACTTGGAAATATACTGAAATAGCTATTCCAAAATCACGATTCCAGTGACCATTTTAAAGTGAATAATGACACCAGAATGGGAAGGAATTTAGGTTTAAAAAATAACCAAGGGTCTCTCAGACAAACAAGGATATAGTAGGTAGGTATTCTCTATACATGCCCTTAGCTAAAACCTTTAAGTTTAGATCCCTGAAAGCACAGGTTCAAACCCTACCTAGGGAGGGGCTGGCCTTTCATACTGCCAAGCAGACAACTTAAGTTCCATGTGTTCACTCTGCAAGGACTCTTTTGTATGAACCCTTAAAAACGGAGTTGGTCCCTACTCTTTATGGAAATTAAAAATCCCATAGCTCCTTTCCTAAGAGTTCAGGTTTACCCTGGTTTCTTTAGCCAAACCTTCCCCTCTCCTGGCGTGTACTGCATTTCAGCTGGCTGCCATCCTCCACCGCAGAAATGCCTGTATTTCAATAGTTCAGGAAGGATGCACAGCCAGCCCCTGCAGCTGTGATGCTAGCAAAACCCCCAGATGAGTTAGAATAAAGACTGCAGGATAAGGCCACAGGCACAAAGTCCTTTGGGATCCTTCACCAGGAAAGGTGCTATCTGAACACAGAGTAAAAGAATATAATGTAAAGTTTAATGGAACATTAAGATCGCAGCTAAGCACTCAAAAGCCAGGAAATACCAGTTAGAGTTGCATGAGCAGCCTTAACTCTGCCCTCTTGTGCAAACGCATTATGACCCAGGCCTTAATCCCATGCTCACACAGCATGCAATGTGGAATCACGGAATTAGCACTGTAGCACCATTACGTTTCATGAGACGTTTAAAAGAAGTTAACCTAAAGTTTCAAGCTTGGATGCCAAAATTTAGGCACTTAATTCCACATCCAGAGGTGATGAGTGTTCGCCATTCCCACCAGCAGGCACCCATTTAACATACAGGAACCCATGTTGCAAAGTGTTGGCCATATGGGCTACATGCATGCAATCTACAATCAGGACACACATTAATTGCGCAAAGAGTCCCCTCCTACTTCAAAGAAATACCCGAAAACCCTCAACTTGAGATTCATCCACTGCTGGATTGTCTGTAAAACCTCCATGACTAAAACAGGTAATATTTATATATCTGCAGTGGTCTAACCTAGTGTAATAAAAAAAAAAAAAAAAAAAATCCACAGGCATGTTACACATGGGGCACATTTCAAAAAGTCTAAACATTATCCTGGTGTGTTTTAAATAAGGGAAATTTTACAGCATCGAATAAGGTTTCAGAGCTCTAGATATTTCTGTTTCTCACTTCTGTGTGTTTAAGGGCTCAATCCTGCTCCCATTTCAATCACTAGCAAAAATCCTATTGATTTTAGTGGGTGGAGAATCAGGCCTTAAATGTGGTACCTTTTTGCCTCTGCTTTTCCTGTAAGGACACCTTTCCTCTTCATTTGCTCCATTTATCTCTCTCCACATCAGAAAGTAAGTGGATTATATTCTTTTTCTTTGGCCACAATACAGTAATTTACCACATTTTTATGCCATTTAAACAATCAGACTCTCTCTCTCTCACCATGTGCAGGGCGTATTTGTCTGGAGCAGTAAAGAGGTCTGTTCACCAGACAATGTAGCCTTACAAAGTTTACACTATGTCTAAGTGACCTCTGCAAATGCAAAAATATGATCTGTTCTGAAATCATGGCTGTGAATTTTTTGTTGTTTCTGTTCAAAACAATCAATCATTCACAGCACTATGAATCATTTAAGCTGCATACTATATTTTAAGTACAATAAAATAATACAAGCAAGATAGACAATGAAAAATTAAACAAGATTTAGCAATAAAGCAGTAAATACTCTACTCAAAACACTGCAGAAAATTACCGCAAAAAGATTTGGTCTTACAGCCCACTCAAGATTTCTCAGTGAACGCCACTGGGTACTCAAGTCTATTATAATAATATACATTCACGAGGTCATCTTAATTCATACCACTCCTGTCCATTGCCTACAACTTTAAACTGGGTCTCCATTGTAAACCATGCCTGGAATTCAGACTTTCAGGTCTTAAAGGCTATACACTGTTTTCCTTTTCATTCAGCTTCCAGCAGAATCGTTTTACAGTGCTTCTGCCTCCATAAAATATTTGCTTGGGAGTCAATGCCAAGAAAAAAAAACCAACAGTGCACTAACCAAGCTCCGAGTTTCTATAGCAATGCTTTTTATCCCCCCCCCCCCCACACACACACACACACATATATATACATTTTTGGCAAGTTATGGCTTCCAGAACTAATAGCAAGTTTAAATATTTAAATTGTAAACTAAGCAACACATAATCTTGTGCTGGGCATTTTTAATGGTCGCTCAGCAATTTATGCTTCTTCAACAGTGTTTGGGATTGCAGCTGGGGCAAATCTACATCCTAAATACATACAACCATTCTCATGGAACAATGCACTCCTCTCCTTTGTGACCAGTAGAGAATCAGTTAGACTGAGAGAGTGGTTTATCATTCAGACTTTCCAATGCTAACGTGACAGCACTGGCAAAGGTATGTTAGACCAGTGGTTCTTAACCAGGGGTACATGTACCGTTAGGGGCACGCAGTCTTCCAGGGGGTACATCAACTCATCTAGACATGTATGTAGCACAACAGGCTACCTAAAAAGCACTCGCAAAGTCAGTACAAACTAAAATTTCATACGACGACTTGTTTATACCACTGTATATATTATGCACTGAAATGTAAGTACAATATTTATATTCCAGTTGATTTATTTTATAAGTATGTGGTAAAAATGAGAAAGTAAGCAATTTGTCAGTAATAGCATACTGTGACACTTTTGTATTTTTAGGTCTGATTTTGTAAGCGAGTAGTTTTTAAGTGAGGTGAAACTTGGGGTACGCAAGACAAAGCAGACCCCTAAAAGAGGTACAGTAGTCTGGAAAGGTTGAGAGTCGTGGCGTTAGACTAATGCTGAGGACAAGTAATGGTTCTTTCTATTCTGAGCCTGTAACTTTTGTTAAATTATCTTCTCATAGGAAACCTCTCCTCCCTTACCTCAACTCCTAGGTCATTGTTTTTCAATCCACCACTGGTAGGGTAACCTGTTTATTGAAATCTGATCGTCTACTGGAGTCCCAGTGTTAAAATATGTGCTAGCTGTTGAGAACTGTCATTTGTCTGTCACTTGGAAAGTTAATGGATTTGTTTGTTTAGTTTGCTATTGGAAATACACAGGGCAAAGTTTGGAGGGATTACAGGAGGGGAGAGGCACTCCTGATCCACAAAGGAATGCAATTGTTTTCCTTTAACCCTACACTGAAAGTTGAAAGCCAACTGTGTATTTTTACACATAAACGACAAAAGCAAAGAGCTCACCTGCAATTAACAAACTGGCCAAAAAGTGACCATCCTGCATCCGAGTTGCGATATCACGGTCAACACTGAAAAAAAAGTGCCATGGGAGGAATGCATGTGTGGGAGGACAAGGGGGAAGGGAGATTCTATGCAGAAGGAAATATCATGATTTGGTCTCTAAAAGGGGCTATAGGGTGTTGGAAGAACATGAGCACAACTGGAGCAAATGTAAAGGCACAAGCCACAAACCATTTCCAAGGCTGCATAAAGCTCATTCTCCTTACCTCGGGCTGAATCTGAAAATGCAATTATCCCTACAAAAAAGAGCGCAAACTGGAATTCCATTTTGAAAACTGGTTCCGTCTGTATTGTACAGATTTTTGATCTTTCAAACCTGGAAGAAGGAAAAAGAAGGGAAATGAGAATTTAAAAAAAGCCAACCCCTCGGTGTGGTAGTAGAGCAAACAAAATTTGTACCAGCAATTATAAATATTTATAATTCATTCCTTGGCATTCCGCATGTAAAACTTTGCTCTGTCCTAATCTTTTGCTCTTGCCTGATATAAATCAAACACTTTTTTGGTATCTTGTACAGAACCAGTCTTGAAGGCAAGCAAACACTAGTGAGTGGCCATAAAACAAGATTTCAGGTTAAAAACGTTTGGAGGAGCTGAATAAAGGAATCTATCCTTTCCACCCACAGAATTTAGCTTTTCTGCTTCATTGCTTCTAACGTGGGTGCTAGAGCTCTGTATATTTCCTTCAGTGCTGAATTTTTCTTCGCAGCAATTCATTTTCCCAACCCTCCTTTCCTTTCAAGCAGGGCTTGTTTTGGTTTACACCAAAGGTGTGTCCTGCTGCAAACCTGTCATTCATACCCTTGAATATTCCTTGGCTGCTCTAATATCTGTTGTTTTTTTTAAAAATCTAGGTAGATCAGGTTTACATTAATTACACTCTGTTCTCCTCCTAAAACTCTCACTCTCTAAACACTATCTGAATTCCTCCCTCTTGTAAACTCCCTGATTTAAACGCTCTATGCCCTCAGGACATACAACAATCCATGTATAGCATCCAACAAACCAAATAATTACACATTGCCATTAGCTTACAAATTTGCACCACAAATTCTTAAGGTGGTAAAATGAAGTGGGGGGGGGGGAGCTGTGATTAATACAGAATCTCTGCCCAAGGCATGAGTGCACATCAACCCACCTGGGGAGTGCAGAGGGACACATGATGTACCGTCATTTCCATCTTACAGAACTGCGCTGCGAGGAAGGGGAAGGAAGAATCCAGAAACGATTATACCTTGCAAAGGTATAATCTGAGAGGCTTCTCAGAGAAAGGCTGTTTTGGTTGCTGCTATTATGTTAATATATTATTTTCAGCAGGGAGCCTGAGGCAGGTCATGCCAGGAGAGGTAACCAGCTCTCAGCAGAAACTGTGCTTCCCAAACCAACCCAGCAGAGCAGTCACCGTCCCTTACCCTCCCAGCCCCACCATCTGGAGTCAGGAAGGCACACAGCCTTGGTCCAGGGCCCACGGGACCAAGCCACCCCACAGCTGATCCCGTTCCCCATTAGTCAGCGAGTCCTGTAAAAGAGGGGTGCAGTTCCCAGCCCTTCCCCATTCTGGTCTAGATAATACTTAGTCCTGCCTTGAGTGCAGGGGGGTGGACTAGATGACCTCTGGAGGTCCCTTCCAGTTCTGTGATTCTATATGGCTTCAAACATCCAGCGTGAAACTGACCAGGGGTTTTCCTGTCCCTTTTTCAAGTAAACACCTCCTCTCCCCAAAGGCACCAGAGCCAGTGAGGTCTAAGGGAGCTGGAACCTGCGCCTCCCCTGGGCAGGCATGCATGTGTATTGGTGACTCGCGGGGTAATCATCACTCGTGTGCCTTTCCCTTCCCGGGCAGGCCAGCGAGCAGCCCCGGCGCTCGGGAGGGTAACAGAAAAGTGTCTGCATGCTGCCCACCCGTGGGAGGAGTGTAACAACACATGGGCCACACAGCCATCCCCGGCCCGCTGAGCTCTGTCACTTGTGGCTCCAACGCCGAAGACCGCCTGAAACGCAGAGAGGTCTGATTAATCATTAACATTAACCCTGACTCCTTCCAGGACACCGGCACACTCCTGGAGCAGCCCGCCGGAGTCCTGCCTTCTGGCTGGGGCGGCTGGTTCCAGGGGGCAGGGTCCCAGCGCACCGCTGCGCCCTGGCTGGCGTTAAGAGCAGATGTGAACTCCCTTCTTAATTCACTGACGCCTGCAGGGCCCCCAGCCCCTTCACGGGCGTCGCTTTTAACCTCAGCGAAACACGGGGACGTCAATCAACTGTCCAGGTTAAGTTCCCTTATTTAATGTTCTTGGAAGAGCCACTTACCTTCAGCGGCAGCCCGGTGACTTAACAGCGCGCGGTTTGCCCCATCATAACATATCCCTTTGAATGGCAAGCCGGGAAAGCCAGTCCTCTAGCCAGTCCCATGTGCTGCCTCTTTTCATTTCAGCTTCATTCCTTCCGCAGGCGGGCAGGGGAGTAAATCAAACTTTGCACGTTGACAGCCCCCAGCTTTGCACGGCAGGGAGGGCAAGCACTGAAAAGCAGGTTCCTTGGCGGAGGATTTGGTAAGTTCCTGGCTCTTTTGTTGGGTTGGTTGGTTGGTTTTTTTAAAGGAAACTCACAATGCAAAATATACCTGAGGGGCTGGAGTCCCTTTACCTACCAACCCTTCAGTGCGCTCATTAAAGCATCAAAGTTTCAAGCCACCATCTTTCCACCAGAAAACACTTTGCCACAAAAGGCGCTGGCAGCGCGCAGGGCTCTCCGCGATTAGCTAAGTCAGGGGAGAGAAAAACTTGTCTTTTCCCTGCTTTGCACGAGCTGCAGCTCCGGGTCAGGGTGCGGGGGGGAGTGAGCGGGTGGGTGGTGGGCTAGGAATCCGCAGCCCCGGCTCTGACAGATCCCCCGGGATCGCAGGAGATCTGCGCCGCAGGGTGCCTGGGTGATGCCGCCCTGGGGATAGCTGAGCCGGGATCACGTTTAAGGGGTGGTGGGGGCAGTTGAAGCGAAGGAACAAGCGTTTCCCTGCAGGGCTTTGTGATTCTGGGGGAGCGCAGAGCCGTAAGGGCGGCCCGGCACCGCCCAGCTACAAACTTCTCACCAATCAAGTTAATCCCTCCGCCCCTCCCTCCAGCCCACTTCAAGGCTGAGGCTCCCTTTAACCCTTTGCAGAGGAACTGGCTGCGGCCGGTGCTTGGGAGCTGCGGGTTCCCCGGGCACTGCAGTCCAGCCCAAGTAAGGGGGCTGGCTGGCTGTCTCCTCCCCACTCTCAGCTCCACCCAGCTGCCCTCTCCATTTGCGCTCACTTGAGCCTTCCTTTGGTGGCAAGCTCTCTGCCTCTGGCCATGCTGAAGGGATCAGAGATGTGTGCCAGTGAGACATGGACTGTCTCACCAACAGAAGTTGGCCAATAAAAGATATTACCTCGCCCACCTTGTCTCTCTCGCTAATGGGACATTCACACTTTCACTCCTCCTTCGGCCTGATTGTTTCTTGTTAGGTTTGAAAGAGACTAATTAAAAAAAACAATCTATAAGATAATTAGCCAGACAGAGAGAGGAGTGTGCATTTAGATAGACCTGCATTGTGGTACACAAAGAGAGACAGATATAGAGAGAGACAGATAGTCTGTCACCATACCTATACCGCTCTCTTTCTCTACCACAATCCATACCTCTATCTAACTGCACACCACTCTGTCTGTCCGTCTGTCTATCTGATAGACCATCTTGGCAACTCCTCTTGAAAGCACATAAATCTCTAAGCACCCATCCGATCATTCCAGAATGAGACTAAACACACACACAAAGAGGGAAAATAAGCTCTTGTCGTGTGTGTCATATATTAACTGTTATGATTATTTATTTACTTTTAAATGCTGCTGAGTTCTAAACTCCCATCTTACACCAAAAAAATTCTCTTATACAGTATAAAATCAATCCAACAGCACTCACAAAGTAAACTAAACAATAGCCAAGGGAAAAACAGTATTAACAGCTAAGCTTTACATACAGAGAAAGCTATTGTCGTTGTTGTTGTTATTTGTTACAAAATCTAATTTGAAATGTCCCAGCAAAGCTGTTCCTCTTGGAAGCAAATAAAAGTTTTAATACCACTCCAATGTGAACACATACAAGGAGGATCCTAAACAAAAACCAAGGAGGTGTTAAAATGTCCATTTAATCTGTTTTCTGTTATTACGATTATGAAATCGCCCTCGTTTTTTATTAAATGCCTTAGCTTGGCAGTTCTTGACAGAATCAAATTTCCATATACAAAATCAATGTATTCAAGAAACAGACTAAACAAATAAAACACCAAACAGAAACAAAAAGAAGCTGTTGCACAGTCGCCTTTGTATACTTTATATATTATTGTCATTATTTTATTATTAAATCTCACTCATTTGAAATATCCCAGATGGGCAGTTCCTTGTATCAGCCAATAACAGCACGATCCTTACTGGCTTCAAAGAGAGTTTTGAAGATCAGTACAGGACATAAATGGACTCGATTCTCCTCTCATTTCTTTTATACAGTACCACATTTAGACACTGGATTTTGATTAAGTTACTCCCGATTTACACCAGCAAGAGGGAACATTTGGGCTCTAAATAGCTAGGGAACTTCTTTGTATTGTCTTATTTATTTATATAATGAGCATAATGTCATAGGTTCTTTACCAAAAAGAATGCAAAGCCCCTTCTACAAAGATTTTACAGTCTAAGGCCCGATCCACCAATCAGCTCTGCTCTGTGCCCGTGCCAAGTTCCACTCAAATCAAGGGCAGAATCCTGCAAAGTGCATAATGCCCTCAACTCCCATTCATGTAAGATGATAGGAAGTAGAACATTTTAGTCGGTATTCCTATTATCTAACAATGGTTTTGTGGGTCAGGCACTAGACTAGAATTCAGGAGTTCTGGGTTCAATTCTAAGCACCACCCCAGCCTTCCTATGACTAAGGACTTGTCTACATGGTGGTGTAACATGCTTTGTGGGGGTATGGTTTCTAAAGCGCATGTCCTGCGCACTAACTGGTCCATATAGACACTGCTGGTATAGCAGTGGTTCTCAAACTAGGGCCGCCGCTTGTTCAGGGAAAGCCCCTGGTGGGCCCATCCGGTTTGTTTATCTGCCACGTCCACAGGTTCGGCCGATCGCAGCTCCCAGTGGCCGCGATTCGCCGCTCCAGGCCAATGGGAGCTGCAGGAAGCGGCGCGGGCCGAGGGACGTACTGGCCGCCGCTTCCCGCAGGTCCCATTGGCCTGGAACGGTGAACCGCAGCCACTGGGAGCTGCGATCGGCCGAACCTGTGGATGCGGCAGATAAACAAACCGTCCCGGCCCATCAGGGGCTTTCCCTGAACAAACGGTGGCCCTAGTTTGAGAACCACTGCCCTAGAGTGTCAAACAGCACTATGTTAAAGCACACAAGCAGAGTCTACATGGACCAATTAATCCGCTTTAGAAAACATATCCTCATAGAGCACATTACCCCATGGTATAAACAAGTCCTTAGTCTCTCTATGCCTCAGGCCCAGCTCCTCACCTGTAAAATGAGGATAATAGTTCCTTTCTCACAACCTTTGTCTGTGTAGGCTGGGGCAGGGATTGTCTATTAGTGCATATTTGTGCACCCCTTAGCACAATGAGGCCTTACATACTGCAGTCATACAAATAATAACAACATAGCTTGAGTCCTCAATGATCAATACTAGCCGAAGGGATTTAATAATGAGCCTAAACAAACATAGCAGCAAAATAGAAGCCATTATGTCTATTTTATATTATGATCTTTTTAAAAACTTAAACCAGTGAAGGATCCAATCCTACACTGCTCACACACAAACCTAAGGTACTCGAATGGCCCTCCATACTGTCTGGGAGGATCTCACAATTTGTAATGTATTTATCCTCACAACATGCTAAATGCTCTTATCCCCTCTTTGCAGATGGGGAACTAAGGGACAGAGGCACAGATCCTCAATAGGGTGACCAGATGTCCCGATTATATAGGGACAGTACCGATATTTGGGGCTTTTTCTTATATAGGCTCCTATTGCGCCCCACCCCCATCCCGATTTTTCACACTTGCTGTCTGGTCACCCTAATCCTCAAAGGTATTTAGGTGCCTAACTCTCATTGGAATCAGACTTGAAGTCTGTGATGGAACAGGAAACTGAGCCCACGTCTCCTGCATCCCAGGCTAGAACCCTAGCCACTAGATTGTGCTTCCTCCTCACAGACTCAAAACATCCACAGCAATCATCAGAAGTTACGTGAGAAGGTGAAAAGCCTGTTTTCAGTTTCTATCCATCCCTGATACAATGCTCGGATGAGGAAATAAATATGGAGCTTGTAATAAAACAAAAAGAATTTACTCAATTGACACGGATCCTATTTTACCAGCAACAAAATCTCCTGCTGCTAAATAAAGAAACATGCAGAGAGCTGCATTTCTCCAGCCAGACTATATACAGCTGAATCACTAGACCAGGGGTGGCCAACCTGTAGCTCGGGAGCCACATGCGGCTCTTCAGAAGTTAATATGCGGCTCCTTGTATAGGCACCGACTCCAGGGCTGGAGCTACAGGCGCCAACTTTCCAATGTGCTGGGGGGTGCTCACTGCTCAACCCCTGGCTCTGCCCCAGGCCCTGCCCCCACTCCACCCCTTCCCGCCCCCTCCCCTGAGCCTGCCGTGCCCTCGCACCTCCCTCCTCCCCCACGCCACAAAACAGCTGATCGGGAGGTGCGGGGAGGGAGGGGGAGGTGCTGATGGGTGGGCTGCCGGTGGGTGGGAGGCACTGGGGGGAGGGCTAATGGGAGGCTGCTGACATATTACTGTGGCTCTTTGGCAATGTACATTGGTAAATTCTGGCTCCTTCTCAGCCTCAGGTTAGCCACCCCTGCATGAGACAGTTGGAAAGTCATCTGCCTAAGTTTGCTTCTGTCCAGGTTGTCCTGAGTCTGCTAGAAAACAACTTTCTTGGGCCGGTAAACAAAATGAACACTAAGCAGCAAAGCACTTTGCTCTGTCTGGCTGGAATGGAAAACGAACAAGCAGTTTGCCTCTGAATTGTTCTCAAGGGCTCCTTGTAGACCAGTAGTGCCCAGACATTTTGTTTTGGCTATAATGGTCTGGTCAATCTGTATCCCACAAGAACTCATCTCCTGCTCCAGAACAGATGACATGGGCTCTCTTTTAATCTGTTCATCTCTTCTTTGCCACCTGCATCTTTTTATATCTTCATTCTTCTTTTTATTCCCCCATCTTGACTTTTGTATATTCTCTCTCCCTCCTCCACTCACTGCAATGCTACTCAGCATTTGGGATGCACAAGGCTTCATCTATGCAATTCCTTACAACTTCAGCTAAGTGGATAGAAGGCACTCTTAAACTGAAGTAAGAGCATGCACATGTAATGCTGACAGATCCCGGTCGTCTGCAGGCAGGATTGAACCTGGGACCTCTAGGTGCTAAATGCATGAGCCTCTACTGCATGAGTTAAAAGCCGCATGGGCCTTAGCTCAGGCTGTAGCAGACTCATTAATCTCCAAGTGGTCTTGGTGCCACTAGGGGGGACAGAGCACCACACCCAGGAGGTGTGTGGGTTGGACATGCACCGACAAGGTCTGCGTACAGGTTGGTCCGTTGTCTCACAGTTGAGCTGAATGCTCTGGGCTCAGAGAACACAAAAGAAGCTTGCACTGGCAGCGGTTGCTTCAAGAGCCCCTCCATCCAGCTCCATGAGGGTGTTCTGCAAGAGCACGGAGGGGAGGTGGGAACCGTCGGCTTCTGTAACCACAGCTGCAGGAGCACGTCTGCAGGTGAAGGTGAGGAACATCCAAGGTTATGCAATATACCCCAAGTCCATTGCCCCATTTCCCCTGCCCTAGACTAGCGTGCTTTCTCCATCCCAGGTTGACTCTTAAGGACGGCGCTGAATGAGGGGGAAGGTAAGTAACTTGACTACTCAGTTCAGAGAAAGCATTTCAAGAGGAAGGGGCAGCAC